ATTCTTTGGAATTTTAAAAGAATATATCTGCTTAAATAAAGTCTTTGTTGTAATTTTGTTTTATAAAGTGTTATTTAAATTGTTATATAGGAAAATTGGATCTGAAAAATTTGAAATTGTTTGTTCCGCCGGCGAATAAATATATGACAAAGTTTCAGGGAAAATAGAATTATTAAGACTAAAACCATTATGATCTGTTAACAATAATTCTGAATTATTAACAGGTGGTGGTGGTTGATATTGAGCATTTCCAAATTGTAAAGAAGTTTCATTAATTTCGTTGAGATCAAACTGATGCGTTACATATCCTTTAGGTGATAAATAGAGTTTTGAAAAGTTTCCATTTCCTTTTGTATCTTTTTTTTGTTTTGTTGACGAAGAATCTTCATTTTTTGATTCTTTAGACCTTTTTTTTGTTCCAGACGTTTTTGGTTTGGGTTTACGAATAGTTCTTTCTTCAGATTGTTCCCTTTCAAAATTATCATTACTAGAAATAGATTCAACGTAAACATCACTATCAAAATCATATCCATTTCCTGAAGACTTTAGATCATCTTGACTTTTACTCGATTCATAAATATTTTTTAATTCATCCGTTAATTTTCTTATTTCATCACTAACAAGTTCTAATCGATTAATAAATCGTTGAAAATCATAAACTTCCACAATCCTTTTTTTATTAGTATCAGAGTAATTACATTCTTCTTGACGTCCAGTACACGATGAACAAGATTTTTTACTTGTATAATCACCATCACACTTTTTTTTCATACTTCGACATTTATCACAAGCAATAAATGAAGCTCTACTTCTCTTTTTTGAATAATTTTTTTGAGAAGGGTTTAATTGTTCTTTATCATAAAAAACAATCCTATTCTCTTCTAAATCTTTAAGTTTGTTTGTTGAAAACATTTGTAAATAATGAATTTCTTAAAAAATTTCTAAATAATGAATTTCTTATAGAATTTATAGGTTTATAAGCAGCCCGAAAATAAAATAAAAAAATAAGGAGGAAGAAATAAATGTAAACTTTTAATTTAATTGAATATACTTAATTTACTTTATACTAAGATCAAGAATTCATGATTATTTTTTTCTAATTTTTTTTTTTTTTTTTGGTGTAAGAAGTTTATACGCTTCCTTTTATTACTTTTTTTTTTTTAATATT